AAATAAAAAACCGTGACAGTCCCGGTGAAAACGGGCTGTATGTTTTCTGTATGTTTTGGCTTATTTTTGTGCAGACTATTGGTTTCTCGCCTGTCAGGAAGATGCAGTGCCGACATAACAGCCGGGGTACACCTAAAAAAAAAAGACGAGACAGTCCTAGTGAAATCGGGGTGTATGTTCTTCTTATGTATTACGTGCTGAGCCGATGCATACTGTAAAATACAGAAGCAATAGCAAAACGCCCGAGTAGTGTAATCTCTCGTTAGGCAAACGACAAGGCATACTGGTAGAGTTCATGACCGCCATGCTAACGCTCAAATCGGAATACAGTTCTTTGTATGTTAAAATTATGAATTATAATACATCATTGATTGGTCATGACTGATTGACCGACTTTCTACCCCACCCAAACATCACACAAGCGATAAACACCCGATGACACAATGTGCCACCATGTGGGTGAGGATCACCGTGGAGAGGTCCCAGAAATCGCGTTCAACCTTTAAGCCATATTTATGGGCAGGCTTTATTGCGGCCCCTGGCAAAAGCCAGAGTAGGGCTTCAAATAACGAAAAATTTTATCCTAAAAACGACAAGTATAATTGATTGGTCATGTAATTTTATACCACATATACGGCGAAATTCACGGGAAAATTAAGGTAGTGAATTTCAAAATACAATAAGTACTAAAGACAACACAAAAAGTTGACTATAAACATAACAGCAAATAAACCATTACAAATACGGACATAGGCATATGCCACTTTTGATTTTTATATCTTTTATTCGAAGTCGGAGTAAATTCTTCCTGATAGGCGGGAAACCAAGAATATTTACACAAATAAGCCAGATCTGTAAAACGGATGTGTAAACAAAACTCAAGTCTTGGAACAAGGCCAAAGTCCAGAAATACACAAATAATCACAACTTTCCGATGGGTCTGCAGCCAACGAATGCGATGAAGATGTTTATACTGATTGATTTACCTCATCCTATTTGTGTAATAAAGTACATTGTTTTGTATTTCTTTATTAGATCGTATTTTCCAAGGTTAGAAAACGATTGTAATCTTTACCGAGTCTTTTGACAGACATAATGAACTGATCTAATCCGTTAGAATTCTTTGAGACAAGGTCAGTCACGTCTGTACGTTACCATATATGGACATCTTATATTTCCTCTAATGTGGAATATATACAGGGAATCGCTGTGGTGTAGCGGCTAGACGTTCGCCTGCGGATTCGAAGGTCGTGGGGGTCAGGTTCTGAGGATTCGAACATTAAAAAAAATATCTTTGGCTCCCAGATCGACGCAGGGGCTAAGTAAAGTCATGGGAAGTCAAGGCGACCAGCATGCTTCAGCATATCGCTCACCGAATGCCGATTGGTCCATAACATATATGACTTTAGCGCTATATGCCCAATACTCATAAGAACGTAGAAAAGCGTCTTTATTTACTTTTAGGTTTTTACTTTGAATACATACGTCTATATTAGGATGTGGAAATGATTGCAAGCGTCACTTAAACAGGTATTGAGGTGGATGCATGAGAACAGAGTGCCATAGATCGCATGTATATGGTATGAAAATGTATAAAGGGAGTAGCTATAACAAGGAGAAGGATTACATTAATGGCAAGAGCCCAGCATGTGAGAGAAAATCTGTTAGATACCTGTAATGGCAACCATTTTTTTTGGGCGTATTAAATCTAGCGCTGCCTACCACTAATTTTTTTTCTTCTAGCTTTTACTGTTTTCCGAATCTTTCTTCTTTAACATTTCAACTTTCTATTTCTGCTTCTCGGCCTTTTCTAACAATCTTCTATGATCTTGATCACGTAGTTCAGAAGTTCTGGAAAGGGTATCACGGTTGTACGAAACTAAACAATCAGTCACATTTTGCTGTTTTTGTTTCATATTGTTTCTGAGATCAAATCGCTGGCTGAGTTTTCACACCTGAAGTCACTGCATACATTTTTTGGTCCTTGATAGTCTTACTGGCGTTCTTGGATTCTGTATTCATCTTCGTCTGTTGCCGTTTGAGCTTCTTCGGTTCCTGAGGAGTTGCATCGCCTGCGTTTCTGTTTGTTTCAAAATTTTACTTTCAGTTCTTCCCGTTTTGACTCTCTCCTTTCTAGTCCCTATCCCTTGTTATTGTTACCTTGGGCCAACCGACTCGACTGTTTACCTTTGTGTTTCTCCACAATAGGTGCTGCCTTGTAAACGCCTCCACTAGCATCCACTATTTTAGGCTTTCAAATCAGCTAGCCGGCCCCAGCCATCCATCCTTGATGCCTTTTTTCAATATTCTCTGTCACAGAGAAGGTGGTAAATGGATTCACAGTGATTCTTTCTCTTGTTATTTTCTGGACCATCAGCTTCTTTATCTGTGTCACTTGTAAGACCGATTACTATTTCAAGTCTGTCTTCCTGACTGAAGTAGGACTGTGGAGGGTTAAGTTCTGAATCTTTGGTAAAGGACTCTTCACGCCTCTGCTTCATCGGCCAAACAGTGCTAAACCTATATGTCTTTCCCCCCCCCCCTTTTTTTTTTCCTTGAGTGAACATTCGGGCACTCTTTAGATGATATGGTCAAAAACACTCTGGTCGCCTTTATTTCCCTGACCTTACCTGTTGTCCATTTTGGTTGTACTGACCAGGGTTAGGTTAGTTGCGTATCCTTTATAGGACGCTGCAGAATCAGCTACAGTAGTCCCTGGCTGTTGTGTGGTTTCTCTAAGCAAATTTACGTCCAGTAGTTTGCCATTGCCTCTGGACGGTCGGTTCCCTGATACCACTGTCGAAACCAACGCAAGGCGCATAGCCTGCAGCTGGGATCGAACCCGGCACCCCGGCATTACGAAGCGTTCGCATCGACTTAGCCACAGAGCCGACTACTGACTAGGGAGACAATTAAAATGTGGAAACAAAATTCACCTCCGTGCGCAGATATGATACCTAGACCTTCGGGTCGGTAGGCGAGCGTCTAGCCGCTGCTGCAAGATATCTCCTTAAAAGTAAAAAAGGTAAAGGTAAAGTCGGGAGATGTGAACCAGTGTCATTGCACGCGGTTATAAACCATAAGTGCTCTGCCACCAGTACAGACAGCTGATTAGAAACTGTTCGCCTGTGTCGCCGTCCGCACGTAACTCTGTAGCTACAGCGAATTTCCTCCATAAACCAGATTATATATAAAGTAAAGTAAAGTAAAGTAAAGATCCCTTTTCACGTCTTTCTTTCGGCGCATCGGGCATATGGGCAGAGCGTCCCATATTTTACAGACCATCAGCACTCTGTGGGTAATGTGGTCAGCATTACGCCGGCTGTCTTTACTTTCCCAGGACAGCCCATCCTGGTATTCATTTTTGTCTGGGTCGACCTGCGACGTCCCATACCACGACAAAAATCCACGCAGCCTGCAGTGGGTTTCGATCGCGGTATGCTGGCTCACGAATCGGACTCGCAACGCCTTAGCCACGGACGCCGCTAGATTATATATATATAGTATTTATTTGAGATTCAAATACTGAGAACAGGCCTGATCACCCCGGACTTTTTAGGAATCATATCCAAGATGGCAAGCCAACTGGGCAAATCCGAGATTCCTCTTTCAAAGAAGAGTTGTCATAGGGGCTCCGGTACCGATTTCAGCAGCCTCGAGTAGCACAGAGTCTCGAGTGGTTTTCTTCAGGAAGGAAGTCAAGAGGAGACCCTTCATTTCCTATCTAGGGCAGCAGGTTACACCTGGCTGCAGTTGCCGTCACGGGTGCTCTAATTATAGCTTCTCTGGAGGATGAATGGGGTATCTCGGATCTGCCCTTTTAGCTTCCCACCCAGATAAAGATTCTTTAATCTCCTAATGGTATCATAAACCTTTAGGTAGGGGCCTGGATAGGACAAACCGACATATCAGTCGAGACCACCACGTTATCATCTTAAAATTAGGCTTATGAGCATGTCAGAAATCTAACATGTTCTGGAATTTCCTGTCTGACTCCAAACTGAGTAAACAATAATTACACATCACATGATTGAACCCATAATAACATGACTGCATGAAAGAACAAAGCCAGTCATGATGCACTGGGTAATGCGATGCACTAAATTTAACTGTGATAAGAGAGGTTCAAAAGAAATATAATCTCACACACTGGGCTACAGTAATGCATCGTAATAAAGAATAAAACACTTTAGAGGCAGTTCAACGCCATAAAAGTATATGGTGAAATAGAATGCATCAAGAGCCATGCAAAGTGCTAGGCCTTAGAGGTATGACAAAGAAAGCTGCAGATAGATCGCAGACGGACGGACGGACAGACAGACAGATAGACAGACAGATAGACAGACAGATAGATCGATAGATCGATAGATAGATATATAGATAGATAGATAGATAGATAGATAGATAGATAGATAGATAGATAGATAGATAGATAGATAGATAGATAGATAGATAGATAGATAGATAGATAGATAGATAGATAGATAGATAGATAGATAGATGGATGGATGGATGGATGGATGGATGGATGGATGGATGGATGGATGGATGGATGGATGGATGGATGGATGGATGGATGGATGGATGGATGGATGGATGGATGGATGGATGGATGGATGGATGGATGGATGGATGGATGGATAGATAGATAGATAGATAGATAGATAGATAGATAGATAGATAGATAGATAGATAGATAGATAGATAGATAGATAGATAGATAGATAGATAGATAGATAGATAGATAGATAGATAGATAGATAGATAGATAGATAGATAGATAGATAGATAGATAGATAGATAGATAGATAGATAGATAGATAGATAGATAGATAGATAGATAGATAGATAGATAGATAGATAGATAGATAGATAGATAGATAGATAGATAGATAGATAGATAGATAGATAGGTGGGGCAGTGCACAGAGCAATAGATGTTAAATAGTGACATTCTGTAAAATACATAAAATGCAGAGAAAGAATTTACTGAGCAAACACTCACCTGAGGAAATACAAATAAAAATTCACGGCGTGATTAGCGTCAGCAAGCATGTGAATAAATCTGGCTGTAAAAATATTCTTAACATGCTCATACGAGGGCTTCTCAAAAGTCCACCACTTCTTAGCGAAATAAAATACCGCAGTTGGTAAGTTGAGCACTAGGAACACAACGCTGACCACGATTAACATCACAGTTATCTGCCGCTGATCCCGAGATTTGCGTCCTCCTTGGTCAAAAGCATTCGTCAAATGCCTCTGCGCTTTCCTGGCCCGTTTGATGTTGGTAATGATTAGCACGTTTCCAATAAGAATGAATAAACACGGAAGTACAGCGGAGTAAAATCCCTCGACCCAATAAAACGTTAGAAGAAATGTATGGAATTCTGGCTTCATATCACACCAGTAACCATATTCCGGATCGTGTTGCTCAGTCCAAGACCAGAAAAAGAAAAGATAGACTGCTGATGTGGTAATAGCCAAACAGGCCAGGACAATGAATGCCTTGCGACGTGTGTAGATCCTTCCAACGCGAAGCGGGAACCACACGGCCAGGAATCGTTCTGTGGTCATAGCCACAACTACCCAGTTGGCGTAACAAGTAGAGAACTGTTGGATGAACATGACAAAGGCACAGCCGGGCACCGTCAGTTGAATTTTAAGGCCTGAGATTTGCCAGTAAAAAACTTTGACGACGATAGCGACTGTATCCGTCAGTGCTAAGATTGCCACATGCGCCTGAAATGGGAAGCCAACACAGTGCATTAGAAAACATGAATTAATCGAGTAACAGAAAGTGTATTGATCGGCACTAATAGAAAGAAGTAGAAAGATAGAAGAACACACTAGACATCATAAAAATCGAAAGCTATAGTTACCGTGCCGGGAATTGAACCTGTCACCTCCAGACGGCGTCTGCGCCTCGCCATGAATATAACTGCACTAAGATACATGGTCAACTAGGCACCCCCCCAAAAAAGGTGTCTTATTGGCCATGTCTATCGTTCAGCTTGAAATCCACAACTATGGAATACGGACAGAATTCATTTCAACCCATTGAAATGGCACCATAGGTTACATAAATTTATATTAACGAAGCAAATGTCGAATAACAATCACAGCAACAATTTACGAACACAGTAAGACCTTATTGCTTTGTCTAGAATACACAGACATTTAAGAAAGGTATTTGATTTGTAGGTTCCGGTGTGTATACGTCATTCCTATAAATAAACAGAGGGGGAACCTTTGAGGCCGTAAAATATTATGAATTAATCGAGTAACAGAAAGTGTGTTGATCGGCACTCATAGAAAGAAGTAGAAAGATAGAAGAACACACTAGACAACATAAAAATCGAGTTTATTTATATTAGAAAACATGAACAAAGTCAAGTGTTTTATATACATATATAGTATAGTATAGTATATATATATATATATATATATATATATATATATATATATATATATATATATATATATATATACTATACTATATATATATAGTTAGTACAGACAAGCGGTTCTCAGCCCTTGGGTCGCGATATATATATATATATATATATATATATATATATATATATATATACTATACTATACTATATATATATAGTTAGTACAGACAAGCGGTTCTCAGCCCTTGGGTCGCGACCCCTTTGTGGGATCCATTTCCAAATATTGTTCGTTGTGCTTAACTAGGTAATCTTATTGTACTTTAATTAACACGGTGTGTCATTTAAAACTGTTCGTGTGCCAACAGTTGGCTGGTACGATGTAGTTTACTAATGCCAGTAGAGATAAATATTGGTGTTTTAAGGATCATGCTGCCCGGCTCTCTAGCGTAGTAGGCTAAATCGTATTGCGAGGTGACCGGGTGACGAACTCCTTGTGGTCCGGGTTCACTCCCGGGCGTAGGCAGAAAAACCACATTTCTCCCAGATTTACGGTATTTACAATGGAATCAAGACCGAAAGGTTGCGATATCCATAATACCGAGCCTAAGGGTTAGCAACTCATGGCTTCTAGCAAAACTGCTGTGGTTTTTCTAGGCAAATTTTACTTGCAGTAGTTTGCCATTGCTACTGAACGATTAGGGCCTCACCCTCTGTAATATTTCTAAAACCGGCAGTGGGTGCGCTGTGGCCAACATTCATTGTGCAAGGAATGTTTGTTTAGAGCTGCAGTATTCGCGTGGAATCTGGAATCCTGCCATCTACTACATTTCCTTGGCTCCTGTCTATGGTAGCGGTAACAACTTCACTGATGTGTTAATTATGTAGACGTACCTTTGTAGACCTTGGCGTCGAGCTGGAACCCAAGTCTAAAATGGGTATTAAGCAATCATCATCATCATGTAATTCTTCACTATCTTCGCGGAGACAGGTTATATACTCTGGGAGAAGGTTTCTGCTTGTTCGTCCACTTGTGGACTGGTCTTATTTCAAAACTTGAATTCGCATGCACATACGTTTTACAGAGATATTTTAATTGTATGCAGACTGTTGGTTCATCACTCCTCAGGCAGAAGCATTAAGACTTCGAAGAAAACATCCCTGACTGGTAGCGTTTTACGTCACGATTTAGAGGGGCCGGGGGGGGGGGGGGAGGGGGGGGGGCAGAGATAGGTCTCTTCTATTGCTGTCAAAATGGTTTCTGACGTCACTCTGGGAGGTATCAAGTAATGTCAGGGCAGAAAAACACAAAGGCGGTACCGGCGGGATGTTGACATCATCAAATTGAGGTATGAACAACGGACTAACATCACGGTACACAGGTAGTAATCCGTAAGTGATCTGTTCGTCTTCTAACTGAAGTCTGAGTCCGAAGAAGCTTATCACAGTGCACAGGCTCTGTAGCACCGGTGAGGATCCTGAAAATACTTTGGGTAGATTTTTAACTCCTAATTTAGCCCGGGCAGCGTCGTAAGGCTACTCTTTTCGATTTCCAACTGCAAAGGGATTTTTTTACGTGTGTAACAATCCACAAGGGAGTCTGAACTCACAACCCAGAGACCAGGGGAAATACTAGAAGTCTAACTCCACGTGACAAAATCCCAGCCTTACCGGAGATTGGACCCGAAATCTTCAGCACTCAAGGCAAACTCCATGCCTCGAGACCACGCAGCCACCACCTCATAAAATATGAAGCGCCGATTGATCTATAAAATCAGAAGTCTAGCACTACATGCTCGGTAAGCCACACGCACGACATGTATGTTTACTTACCTTTGAAGAGGAAACTGTTGACATGGACATGATGGTGAATATGCTGGCCACATTGCCAGGCACACCAAACACCATTACCAGCCACAGGTACTCGGACATGTAGAATGTTATATTGTAGAGGATGTAAGACTCATAGTTGTCACTATAGAGATCAGAGGAAAAGAGGAATTAGCACCGATAACACAGACGACTTCTGACACTATATGCATAAATACTAAGTAAAATTACCACCTGTTAAACGAGATACCTGCGAAATGAGATGCATGCGAAATGAGATGCCTGCTAAATGAGATCCCTTCTAACTGAGAAGCCTGCTAAATGAGATGCCTGCGGAATGCTGCTAAATGAACCAGTTGGAGACATAGCTGGAAATAATAATATCGGACAGACTGTGAGAACAACGCCATGCAGCAAACTCATTGAGAAGCAGGGGATCAAATGGTTTGGTCATCTAGTAAGAATGCAGCCAGAGCCACAACTAAGGCAGGCATAACACATGAAAAGATCAGAAATGACAGAAAAAAGTCACCCTATAAGAAAATGGAGTGATGACATTACAAAGCTTCCATATCGACACAGAATGACAATATGGCCTTTGCAGCCCTTCAAAGAATGGATCGTGAAATGTTCCTCCCCACGTCGATTAACGATAGAAGAGGAAACTGATGATGAAGATGATGAGGATTCATCAATACATGAAATATGTTACATATGTCAGAAAAAAAAAAAAAAAAAGAGACTTTCGGATGAGCAGATAGCCCGTAACTTACTCAGTCAGAGAGGCACCGAAACAGAAATAGTTTGCGGGTGGTATTTAGCCCCTTACGCATTTTCTTAGGGAAGGGGGGATCAAGAGAGTTAAGCCTTGTTTCAATGCGTAAATATAAATATTTTATATGTGTGTATATAAAATAAAATAATGTATGTATACTTTTTATTATATATAATAACAAACACATGCATATATAATACAAGGTCCGACAATTAAGTAATTAGACTGATTTTATATGGCCAAGACAAAAATGCCATCTATGAAGCAAAACATAGAATCTAAAGAGGCAACGTTCATCTATGATCTGACACGTTTTTATCACCACTCAATAAGCAGACAATAAACAAGCCGCAATTTTGTTGACCTAGTTAGAGGTGCATTGTTACGCAATCAACACAGAGCAAAAAAGCTAACATTAAATTTCTTTTAAAACTCAGAAAACGAGTGATTGAAACAGTGGAATTGATGCAACAAGTTTATGGGGATAATTGTTTATCTCATGCACACATTTTCATGTGGTATTGACGATTCAAAAGTTGTGTGAAAATGATTACTAATGCACCTAGACCTGGATGCCAAATTTCTGTTCGTAATGATGAACTCATTGCAAAAGTCAGAGAACAGATACAAGAAGATCATTGTTTAAATATTAGGATGATGGCAGATGAATCTGGTGTTAATAGAGAGACCATTCATAACATTTTAGTGCCACATTTTGGCAAGAAAAAGTTGCTTGCCGGTTTGTACCATATTCGTTGTCTGGTGACCAAAAACATTAGTGGGTTGAGTACCCAAAGGACATCATCAAAAAAAAAAAAAACAGAATTTTTTTGTCCCAAAACAAGTGTGTGTTCGCAGCCTTCCACCCTATTCCCCAGATTGGTCTCCCTGTAAATATTTATATTTCCAAACTTGAAGTTACGATTGAAAGGACGCTTCTTTAACGATATTGATGACATCCAAAGGGCCGTAACATCGACTTTAAGGGCCATAACAAGAGAAGAACTACGGAGGTCATTCTAGTGTTTGTTAGATCGTGCCACTTGTTGTATCAATGCACAAGGAGCTTACTTTAAATCAAATACAGGTTTTAACTTCAACTGTTGATTATTTTAATTTTTATGGAATTAGTATCATTATTTAATTGTCGGACCTTGTATAATATTTGTATATGTTATTACATAAAACCACTTAGATATATATATACATGTACATATAAGCATATACACACACACACTATAATTATATACGACTCTTACGTCCTTCTTAGGACGTAATTTTTTGTTATTTGAAGCCCCACTCTGGCTTTTGCCAGGGGCCGCAATATAGGCAGGTCATTATTATGGCCAAGTGTCTGAACGCGGTTTCTGGGACCTCTCCACGGTGATCCTCATCCGCATGGTGGCACTTTGTGTCATCGGGTGTTTGTCGCTTGTGTGATGTCCTGGTGGGGTAGAAATTCAGTCAGTCAGTCACACACACTATTCCTTACGTCCTACTTAGAACGTAATTTTTTGTTATTTGAAGCCCCACTCTGGCTTTTGCCAGGGGCCGCAATATAGGCAGGCCATCAAAATGGCCAATTGTCTGAACGCGGTTTCTGGGGCCTCTCCACGGTAATCCTCATCCGCATGGTGGCACTTTGTGTCATCGGGTGTTTATCGCTTGTGTGATGTCCTGGTGGGGTAGAAAGTCAGTCAGTCATACACACACACCCCCACCACATCTCTCACACTCACACACACACACAGCTATATATTTTATTTTACCTCACCAGGACATCACACAAGCAATAAACACCCGATGAAACAAAGTCCCACCATGTGGATAAGGATCACCCGTGGAAAGGTCCCAGAAACCGCGTTCAGCCATTAGACCATATTTATGGCCGTGCTATATTGCGGCCCCTGGCAAGGGCCAGAGTAGGGCTTCAAATATATATGTATATATACACACACACACATTTACACACACAAAACGGGCTGAAAAGCACGTAAATAATATAACATATATTAAATGAATAAACAAAGACTTCACTACTTCCATTTATAGTTAAGAGGTGGAACAATTTGGGGGTGGGTTTGGGAAGGGGGGGGGGGGGAGTTGGGGGGGGTGGGTTCACTGAGAGTTGGGGTGGGTGGGTCTGAGCCTGCATGTTCCAGCACCCTTGCTCTGTCAATAATTTGGTTAGTTACTCTGTGCCCGCACATGTTATCTCATAAATTCATTCTTTTCTCATTTTCTCGCGTCTTCAATTTCCATGTCACGTCTTCCTTTAGTTTGTCTGTAAGAATGTCTATAAGCCTCCAGTATTTTCTAGTTTTTCTTTTCTTTACTTAAAACATCTATCTACCTACTTTTCTAACTGTTCATTTTGATCATTGTTCATTTTTGATATCATCTTTATCGAACATCGGACGTGACCATAATTGCTCCGAGCTCCTCCTGAGTATGTCATCAAGTGTTTTTAGGCTAACAACTACCATTCTGTTCTGGTTGATGTAACGACGGGTGGCTCCAGCATGGTTTTCCTGACTCGCAGCTCTAATTGGTACACCTAGGGCGTGCAGTCCATTCAGTGAAAAATCATTTTCTACGCAACTGAAAGCATCACAGCGTTTAGTCTCTCGTATGACATTGGTGAGGTCTCTCCTGTCCATAGAAAGCTCATTCCTTATAGTCGCACTGCCAACCAGAGCATCTGCATTCTCATTGCCCTTCACACCAACATAACAAGGGGCAAAAATGAAGGTATTTTGCGAAACGCTGCGAATCGTTATCTAACTGTTAAGCTGACTATCTATTTATATGTCTGCCCTCTTCTCATGCTTTCTGTTTCGCTGTCTCCATCCCTCATTCGCTTAATACCTTCTTAACCAACACTCTGTTTACCAGTCTACATATACGTCTTCTAGTCTGCCTATCTGGCTGCCAGAAATCATAACTTAATCATCTTAATGTATCCTGCCGATAAGCGTAGGCCTGACCACCTGTCTGTTTTTTTCCACACGTCTGTCTCACTGTGTGTGTGTATAGTGTGTATCTGTCTGTTTGACTAGTACCTTATCTGTCTATAGACAAGCCCGAGTAATTTATTGCCTGTTTAACCAAACTTCATTGGGACAGTCATCAGAAGACTTTATCATCGCTGAACACATATACACATCCACGCATGCACACCAAGCCCCTCACTAACACTCACAAACGCTCAAACATACACATCCACGCATGCACACCAAGCCCCTCACTGACACTCACGAACGCTCAAACATACACATCCACGCATGCACACCAAGCCCCTCACTGACACTCACGAACGCTCAAACATACACATCCACGCATGCACACCAAGCCCCCCCACTGACACTCACGAACGCTCAAACATACACATCCACGCATGCACACCAAGCCCCTTACTGACACTCATTAACGCTCAAACATACACATCCACGCATGCACACCAAGCCCCTTACTGACACTCATTAACGCTCAAACATACACATCCACGCATGCACACCAAGCCCCCCACTGACACTCACGAACGCTCAAACATACACATCCACGCATGCACACCAAGCCCCTCACTGACACTCACGAACGCTCAAACATACACATCCACGCATGCACACCAAGCCCCTCACTGACACTCACGAACGCTCAAACATACACATCCACGCATGCACACCAAGCCCCTCACTGACACTCACGAACGCTCAAACATACACATCCACGCATGCACACCAAGCCCCTCACTGACACTCACGAACGCTCAAACATACACATCCACGCATGCACACCAAGCCCCTTACTGACACTCACGAACGCTCAAACATACACATCCACGCATGCACACCAAGCCCCTTACTGACACTCATTAACGCTCAAACATACACATCCACGCATGCACACCAAGCCCCCCACTGACACTCACGAACGCTCAAACATACACATCCACGCATGCTCCCCAAACCCCCCACTGACACTCACGAACGCTCAAACATACACATCCACGCATGCTCACCAAGCCTCTAACTGACACTCATGAACGCTCAAACATACACATCCACGCATGCACACCAAGCCCCTCACTGACACTCATGAACGCTCAAACATACACATCCACGCATGCACACCAAGCCCCTAACTGACACTCATGAACGCTCAAACATACACATCCACGCATGCACACCAAGCCCCTCACTGACACTCACGAACTCTCAAACATACACATCCACGCATGCTCACCAAGCCCCTCACTGACACTCACGAACGCTCAAACATACACATCCAAGCATGCACACCAAGCCCCTCACTGACACTCACGAACTCTCAAACATACACATCCACGCATGCACACCAAGCCCCTCACTGACACTCACGAACGCTCAAACATACACATCCAAGCATGCACACCAAGCCCCTCACTGACACTCACGAACGCTCAAACATACACATCCAAGCATGCACACCAAGCCCCTCACTGACACTCACGAACGCTCAAACATACACATCCACGCATGCTCACCAAGCCCCTCACTCACACTCATGAACGCTCAAACATACACATCCACGCATGCTCACCAACCCTCTCACTCACACTCATGAACTCTCAAACATACACATCCACGCATGCACACCAAGCGCCTCACTCACACTCATGAACGCTCAAACATACAAATCCACGCATGCTCACCAAGCGCCTCACTCACACTCATGAACGCTCAAACATACACATTCACACCCACACACACCAATTTAAAAGAAACCCACATATACAGATCCACACATTCACATCTCTATAAACACCCCATGCATATACAGTCACACAGTCGCACCACCACACATACACACACATACCCATATACGCACACAAACATCCACACCCACATTTCCACGCACACCCGCACACACACACTTACACATAGAAACAATTAATCAGAGTTAATATAATCAGCTCACCTGTTGCTAGCAATTCCCATGTCATCGCTGCTGGTAATATTTCCGCTAACGTTGAGTGTTGCATTAGACACATGTTCATTATCTCCCCCTGTTGTCATGTACATCAGGAATGGGTTAGCTCCCATGCTAGAATCGCCCGTGGTGCTCATCTTGTCTGGTCTCTTAACAGGTTGAACCTCTCTATGACCTGTAACAAAATAACGTGTCACGTGTAACCAACAACAGGCGATAGAACACATTCTAGATCTTATAAGTGTCTGAAAAAGTTGCAAGAAATCTAACCATGTTATAATGATTAGTACACTTGCCCGCATGGGATACGATAGCTAGTATTTTTTGTTGGCACCTTTCCGTCTTTCCAGACTATACTATTGTGTTATAAAAAGGTGTAAATACCACAACCTATCTTCTTCTTCTTCTTCTTCACTTCCTCTTTTACCGCTATGGTGTCGAGGGAGATATAAGGTTCTGTTTCTAGCTCTTCTGGCTACCTCGACCATAGGCACATCGTGCTGTTGTAGAGTTTCTCTGATGTTATCCTTCCATCTTGTTCTTGGTCTACCCCGTGCTCTATGTCCTTCTTCTCTTTCCATGTATGCTTTGTATGGTATGGTATTACAAGGCATTCTCTCTAAGTGGGCAAACCATTTCACTTGCTGTCTTTGTATGTAATCCAGAATTGGTTCTGTGCCGACTTGTTCTCTTATGATCTCATTCCTGATCTTATCTCTTATGGTCACTCCTACAGCCCTTCTCAGACATCTCATTTCCGTGGTTACTAATATTCTTTTATGGTTTGTTGCGAGTGACCATGTCTGGCACTGGTAGCACAGAGTTGGAATAAATATGCTCTGAATAAGATGTCTCTTTGTGCTGATTGGGATTGTCTTATGCTGTAAGAGGGGGGCTAGCTGTCCCAATACTTGGTTTGCTTTACTGCATCTAATGTCAATTTCTTTATCCAATTTCCCATCTTCGGTAAATGTAGTTCCCAGATATTTAAACTCAGATGCCTGTTTAATGTCTTTGTATTCTATTGCTATGTTTAGATCTGTCTTCTTTTTTTCCTATTGACATTACTTCTGTCTTTTCAGTGTTGATTCTCATATTATTTGTTTTTCATTCTTCATTCATGGATGTTAGATGTTGTTGCAATTTCATGGCTGTATCTGCTATCAGGCCTGGTCATCTGCAAAGAGTAATTCGTTGATCTTACTAAGATCTTCATTCATGGGCTTGGCATTCTTGCATATACTGTCGATGTAGGTGATAAACAGCAGTGGTGATAAGACGCACCCCTGTCTTACTCCAGATGTCACTGTGAAAGGATGAGATGTTCCCTGATTTATTCTAACTACACTTCTACAATCCTTGTATAAACTTTTGCACACTTCGATGAGGTGTTCGCTTACTCCATGTCTTGCCATTATTTGCCATAGTAATTGTCTGTTGACTCTGTCAAATGCCTTCTCCTGGTCTACGAATGCCACAAATAAGTGCTTATTGTATTCAATGTTCTTTTCTATTAACTGTTTAAGTGTGAAGATTGCATCTGTGCAGCTTCTATTTCTCCTAAATCCCATCTGTTCTTCTGCCAGCTGTGGTTCTATCACTGGTCCCAGTCTTGTTTCTATTATCTTGGCATACATTTTGCCAACATGGCTTAAAAGAGAGATGCCTCGATATTGACTTCATTCTCGTTTGCTTCCTTTGTTCTTCCACAATGGTATAACTATTGCATGTTGACAATCAATAGGGGCCGTTTGTTGTACCCATGCTGCATTAAATATTATGTGAAGCCATCTGATGCTGCTTTCACCTGCTGCTTGAATTAATTCTGTTGGTAATCTATCAGCTCCTGGTGCTTTATATTTGGGAGACTGTTTAATACCACAACCTATAGCGGTGGCAAATGTAGCTTGCAAGTCCAGCACGCGACAAAAAAAGTGTTCGGCAGTGGTTGTATGGGAATTCGGGACAATTTTTGTCTTTGCATGTTGTGTTTTTTCTCAAATGCTCAGCTCTTAATCTATCTGCAGTCCCCTTCTCTTTTGCCTCTATTTCCCTCCTGATCTTTTCTCTCCATGCAGCATCCTGTCCCCGTGATATTCTCTCAACACCTGTTTGATCAATGTTCCGCTTGCATACGTCTGTTTAACGATGCAGCGGTCGACCAAGAGATCTTCTGCCTGTTTGTGATTCATAATATAGGATTTCCTTTGGAATTCTACCATCCTCAATTCTCCAGATGCAGCCAAGCCATCTAAGTCTGCGAAAACTGAGCAGAGAAAACATTGTTTGAACACCAGCTCTTTCCAAAACTTCAAACATCGCTCTTATGGCTACCACCAAAGTCTTAGGTTCGGCGCTTTCTTAATATCCTACCCCAATCAAGCAAAATCCACAGGTCACGGGAAAGTCTAATATTTCCGGGGCTGCTAGGTAGGTTGCATGCAGTCGTGGGCCGTAGGCTGCACTCTCTCGTGGGACGTAGGTGAATTAGGGTTAGGGCCAGTTCTAGATGTTTTAGGGTCGTTAAAGGCATCAGAAAGCCGGGAAACCCAGTCTTAACACCCTATAAAATGTTAGACTGTCATGTGACGTCATCTGGGGTAGAACATTACGAAAAATATATTAGGTTCAAACCAGCATCTTCCTCATCAGTATCGATTTTAGCTCCAGAGTCCACTCAACCTAAAATGGGTACCAGACAATGACATGGGAAGTTAAGGCTGCCAACGGCTGTTCACTATATCCCCCCCCCCCCCCCCCTCCCAGCTAGTGCCGATTAACCTTTAACAATATGTATCCAGCATCATATGCCAATTGGTGCTTTAATTTTAATTCACTCTAAACACAGAAAACTCGGGAATTCCAACTAGGAAAGTTCAATAGTCCAGGGGTGTTATTGATTGGGATTAGGATTAGCGTTAGTCGGTACCTCTGAGGCGGTCAAGGCTGACAAACATTAGTTTCATTTTGGCGCCAAGGTACGTAGGTGTTCTGTTCGTATTGTCCCAGTCAACGCACAAGCTAAACATGAAGATGATTTTAATTTTCTGCATTTGTCTGTGTTGAATAGTTCACTTCGCTAAATATAAAGATAATCAAAATTTTTTGCCTTTTTCTGTGTCGAGAAGTTGACTTCGCCTAATATAAAGACAATCTCAGTTTTCTGCATTTGTCTGTGTCGAGAAGTTGACTTCGCTAAATATAAAGATAATCTCAATTTTCTGCATTTGTCTGTGTCGAGAAGTTCACTTCGCTAAATATGAAGATATTCTCAATTTTCTTTATTTGTCTGTGTGGAGTTCACTTCGCTAAATATAAAGATAATCAAAATGTTTTGCCTTTGTCTGTGTGGAGAAGTTGACTTCGCTAAATATAAAGATAATCACAATGTTTTGCCTTTGTCTGTGTGGAGAAGTTGACTTCGCTAAATATAAAGATAATCAAAATGTTTTGCCTTTGTCTGTGTGGAGAAGTTGACTTCGCTTAATATAAAGATAATCTCAGTTTGCTGCATTTATCAGTGTCAAGATGTTTACTTTGCTACATGTATCTGTGAAGAGAATTTCACTTTACTACATGTATTTACCGTGGTATATACCGCCGAGTACTAAATTGAATCTTATCAGAACTATTTTTTTGGGCAACACTATCAATGCCGGACGTGGACACTTACATCCTCCAATGAACGTAAAATTGTGACAACAGAGATGAAATGCCTTAGAAGAGCTGCAGGAGTTTCAAGTAAAGACAGAATAAGAAATAATGAAATCAGACGAATGTTAGGAATAAAGCCAGTCTTACAGGTCATCAAAGAACAACAAATGAAGTGGTTTGGACACCTAACAAGAATGCCCTGGTACTCTCTGCCACAGCGAGCCACACTAAAACGTTACAACGGGTATAGAGCGACTGGAAGACCTCGGAAAATATGGAGTGATGGCATTAAGAACAGCCTTACAGAAATGAACATCAGTCCTAATCGTGCTCTTGACAGAGCTCATCAACGAACATTACATCTCCCCTAGACACTTCGATGAGGTACAAGGTGGCAGAGAAGAAGAAGAAGAATTTACCGTGATGTAGCGGCTAGACGCTCGCCTGCCAATCGGAAGGTCAAGGTTCAGGGCCTGACGGAGTTGGAATTAGAAAAAACAACAACAAACTTTGGCTGCCAGGTTGATCCAGCCCCAAATGATACTATGTAAGGTCCTGGGAAGAAAACACCGTCGGTGTGAAACTGACCACATCATCTATCAAGTGCCGATTCGTCTATAAAATCTTGGTCTAGGTGTATATTCATAAGAAGCCTGAAGGTGAGAAAAACGGTCCTTTACTTTACAAATATCTACGACGAAAAGTTCATCTCGCTGGAATTTTGTGACGAGAAGTTAACTTCGCTACGGTTTCTGCAATGAGAAGATCCCTCTCTACATTGTGTGTATATGTGTGTGTGTGAATGTGTGTGAATATGCTCGTGTGTGCATGCGTGTGTGTGTGCGTGCGTGCGTGTGTGTATGTGCGTGTATGTATGTGTGCCTGTGAGACAAGGCTATCACTTTGCTACATGTAGCTGTGACAATAAAAGTGTTTGGCAATCATCACGTTGTGAACAAACCGTAGTGTAGTCGGCGTCTGTGGCTTTAGCGTTGCGAACACGCTTATGGTGCCGGGGTGCCAGGTTCGATTCCAGCTGCAGGCGATTTGCGTTGGGTTAGACGGTGACATCGACAGCCGAGGTCCAGTAAGCAATGGCAAACTACTGGACGTAAATGTGCCTAGAAAAACCCCTAAGAGCCGAAGAAAATGGAGTCTGTTCTGCACTGTCATTTAAGGGATACACTACTAACTCTTTTAAATAGTCTACAGTGATTAAACAAACAAACAAATGAGCCAGCAAGTACATAAATAAATAAATAAATGTATTTATGGATAAATAAATAAGCAAAAAGCCACAGTTCGTAATATTTAAATTGGTTTGGTCGAACACACGTTTGACTGAATTACACATTATAAGTAGCTCAAGAATGACGTCTTCATCCAGAAGCAGTGAAGTAAACAGCAAAGAAAGAAAGAAAGAATGAAAGAAAGAAAGAAAGAAAGAAAGAAAGAAAGA